AGTATCTGCAGTTCCTACTATCTCTAGCAACCAGTGATGACCATTATAATGGGCTGAATGGATTCCTGACATGCTACAAAGTTTTCCAGTTCTGTAGATGTCATTGAGTTACCTTATTTGATGATGCTGTGGCTTTAAGAGGTACACACCTTGTGAGGTCTTGGGATTTTTTTTAAAGTTGGAACAATAGAGGCAGTCTGGCTGGGTGTGGCCAGCTCTCACAGACTAGGCTTCCTAGTTTTTTTTTTAGTGTTTACGTTTATCTTTAAGCAGTTGATGTTGTAGCCTTGAAGAAGTAGAAGCAATCTTTTCCCTCTCTTGGTTACAACCGGAAAATGGGGTTTCTGTCTGATGCTGGGTTACCTGTGAGACAAATCTAATTTTCTGAATTAGCTTTTTTTTTGCCAAGAGTATGTTTACGGGATGTTACTACATTGGAACAGTTAATTTGTAGTAGTTACCATATCTGTTATTCGGTTAAGTTTTTCAATAGAGTTAAGTTATTCACTCTTTTGTTTGGGTTTTTTACTATAGTGTTTTAAACTGTGTTTTTGCTTAACGTCGAGTCCTTTGACCATATCTTAGAATCTTAGAATCCCTAAAGTGTGGAAATAGGCCATTCGGCCCAACAAGTCCACACCACCCCTCTGAAGAGCATCCCACCCAGACCCATTCCCCTACCTTTCCCATGTCCCACACACCTAACCTAAACATCCCTGGGCACATTGGCAATTTAGAATGGCCAATCCACCTACCCTGCACATCTTTGGACTGTGGGAGGAAACCGGAGCACCCAGAGGAAAACCACGCAGACACGGGGAGAACGTGCAAACTCCACACAGACAGTCGCCCGAGGGTGGAATTGAACCCAGGTCCCTGGTATTATGAGGCAACAGTGCTAACCACTGAGCCACCATGCTGCCCCAACCAGCTGCATTGCTTCTGGAACAAGGCATTTGCCTTAAAAATAAGAAAAAGTTAGAGTCTGGGCCATATTTTGAGGGGATCTGGTCTGGTCCATAACACTTTGTCCATGGAAGACTGCGCCTCAGCGCTAGTTGACATTGGGCTAGAAGTGAAGGAGGAAAAAATGTACTGCACAGTTATAAAAACTGCTCACATCCTTGATCTATTTATCCAGCAAATCCACCATAAAGCACCAAACCTTATATCTATGTAGAGTTTTTCTTCCCCAGGAATGCTAGGTATTGGCTCCTACACAGAATCATTTCCCAGCAAGTTTCTCCCAAATTGCACCAAGAGGGCATCACATCACAATTCACGGCTTGTTCTAGCCCATTCTGTTACATTTTAGAAGACATTGGAATGGATTCACTACAACAGTCTCACCACATCCAAATTCCAAAACGTTCAGCATTGCCTACCTGTTGGGTACAAACAGAGCAATAACACAGGCACCAGGATTGGCCATGGAACCCAGAGCAGCAGACAGGTGGTAAGCAATGTTTCCATAGGGTAAGCATGAATATGTCTGCACTGATGGTAGGAAACCATTGGTCAATGAATTCACCCAGACAACGAGAAGATAAATGAAGAGAAGCTGGTGCTTGGAATACTTAGTGAATGTACTGAGTGCCACACTTTGTGTTTTGGCTGCAAGCTTAGCTTTATCTATTGCCTTCCCCAGATCATGAAGACTGAAGCTCTGTGTATCTGCTGGCCGCTCAGAGATGTATTTATTCAGTTCCAGTTCAGTGGCTGAGACGTGTGACACATCGTTGGACACTTGGTCTTTGTGAAACATTTTGTGAGGAACCCGTGTGAGGAAAACAAAGGCCAGCAGGCAGAAAATCATCATAACCGTGAGGAAAGCTAAGAATGTCTCTGTGGAGAAGTTGGCAGGCAAGTACTGAGTTTCAATCTGGTGACCGTGCACCTCTTCTGTGAAGTTACCAGTGGTCACATTGACTGGCTTTGAAATGTTCACACACTTGGTCATTCCAGAACCTTGGCCCAGTGCCACAAGGCCAGGAATGAAGCCACTCAGACCTTCTCCAATGAAGTAGGTGGTCATGTACTTTGTCGGGAGTCTCATCATGAAGGGAAGGAATGTCACTGAAGATGTGCAGTCCACTAGTGACAAGAAGAAGGCGAGTGTCAGAAACGCTGTACTGCGAGGTGTGTGTGCCAGTGATGTAGTTTCCTTCCAGAAGAACACCATCAGCAAGCTGGCCAAGATTCCAATGCTAACAATAATGTAGATGGCAACAATCTCTTTCATCTTCCCTGGCGCAAACTTGTGCATGAGAGTGACAAACAAGGGTCCCACGTTGGCTAGTTGAATGATGACAGTGAGATAAGAGGGCAAGTCCCATCCTTCGGGCAAAACATTCACTATAAGCGGAAGCTCCACCCAAAGGCCATTGATGGCAACCCATGAACCTGTGCCGAATACACAAGCCAGTATGTGGATGGCAAGGGACATGGTGCTCTGGTGCAGGGCCATCTATATCACGGTGTTCACTTGTTCATAGGCAGTACAGGACTGGTAGGCTTTAGCATCATCTCCTGAAATACAAAGCAACAGTCAATAACCTCGTGTTTATCAAATATGGTGCCCCCTAATCAGTGTGCCCTCTATACATTGGGTACAACTGGGGTCAAAGGGTATCATATTCCCCGTATGCAGAACTCAGTTTTACAAAGGAAATAGATGTGTCTTCAATTGTTTACTTGATCTGTGTTCGATTATGAGACACTTTTCATTATCGGCTCTCACTTTGGTTGGTTGGTTAAGGTTGGCTGTGGATTCAGAGAAAAGTGAATGGGCTCACATCATTAATAACGGAACCTGATGAAAATAAAACAGTGGCATTTAAATTGACCCCATTTAAATCATGGTTTCTCGCCACACTCCGACAAAGTTTAATTAGAAATTGTAAGTGGTACTCACACCCACTGCTGGTGGGCAAGGTACATTTTACATATTGAAGGTTTTATTTAGCTCAGGAGGAATCCTGAGAGGTCCCTCTGGCCTTCACAAAGAGACTCCACTGCCTCTGGTTTCTCTCCTTCTCTCAGCCACAGTCACTGCTGGACTTCCACCTGACTTTAATGCCCAAGGTCCACTTATTAGGTCCATGTAATCCACCCGAAATGCAACTCCCTCGGGTCATCCACATACTGGGTCCAAGCAGGAGTATGAGCCTCCTCAGTAAGATGATGTGCAGGAGCTAGAATTCTGCTAAAATACACACAACCATGCCACTCTCTCTTAATGCGACTCACCCTCCGTTCCCTCACACACTCATCTAGCTCCTTCTTAAAACCCACCCCTTACTTCAGTCACCTCTTACCTCTCTTCCCACCTTCTGCTTTGTGACCAATCCCGTTCAGACAATGCGCTACGCTAAAGTTTCCATTTTATCCAAGTTGTTCATGCATTTTTCTGGCTCCAACTTGCACATTCTAAGGTCAATGGCAAACAGGAGTAGCCACTTCATTATTATGCTGGGCAGGTGAATGATTAACAAGGCCTTCTAGGAGTCTGTTAAGTGCTTTGGTTTTATGTATTGTTTGAGAAAGAGGAGACAACACGAACGGTTTGCCCCATTGATCCAAACTTAACGTACACAGGACGTATTTGCAAAGTTTCTTTCTCCTATAATGACACATTTCTGACAGAAAAAAATATCTTTTCCAATTACTTTTGCTGAAGGGATGCTGTTCTTTATAGGATCATCAGAACTGGAGTAGATCATTCAGCCTGTTCCACCATTTCATAAGATTTACATTTGACAGCTTGGCATTGTGTTTATTTCCATAGCAACAGATATTCTGCAGTGCCTTGCCAAGTGGCCAGTAGTCACATCAGTGGAATATTTGATGGAGGGGGAAAGGCTGTTACAGTCAAACCCAATCCTGTTCTTGTGCGTAATCCACACACTTAAACTTTCTAACAGGTCATGGCATAGCCATTGGAAACGAAAGAAACTGGCTGGCAGTTGCCCTTTGTTTTTCTGGGGTGGGAGGGGAATGTGTGGGGGCAATAAAGCCCTGTAGAGGTACTGCCATCCTCACTGGACCCTCGACATGAGGGGCTGAATGAGGATGACCTGCTGCTTTGTGATATAACAGCGACCAAAACTTTAACGAAGCCCCTGGGGCGGGGTAGGAGGATGGTGGCAGTGATTCCTACCAGCGGAAGAGAAGATGACAGGTTGTGGGGGAATAGATGGCAGGTATCTCCCCTCAGCCCATTGAGGCCCCTAACTGACGAATTAGACCCTATGAAGTCTCAGCCTGTTCAATTCCTTCACAAATGACCTTCACCTCTACTCCCTGTATTCACTTTGATTCCATATCAGAGTTTTGAACATTTTAGTTAACCAAGTTGACAGGTTTTCATTTTACAGAATGTGTTCACTGTAAAAGTTTACAGCTTTGAGTTTAGTTTCATTTTAATGGTGTGAACGGTAACGTTTATGGAGACTGGTGCAAACGTCAGTGGCAAAGCAGGTTTTGTAAGCATGTAGCTTGCTACACCAACCCCAATTTATAGCATTTCACTTTATTCACGTTATGACATGAGGGCAGAGTAACAATTCTTGTGCTAAAGTCAAATTGTGTTGTCTCTCACTTCATCTGTGGGAGGCTATTTCTGTAATTGATTTTTGAGGAACAGCATTCCAGAATTCCACTTCCCTTTGTGTGAAGTGAGGGAGGAATGGCCTAACTATAATCTTAAAGTTACCACAAAATCATAGAATTCCAGGAGTAGACCATCATGTCTGCACTGGGTCTCCGAATGAGCATTATAATTTAGTACCATTTGGATGTCTTCTCCCCCTACACCTGCACAATGTTTCCATTCAAATGAGCATCCACTGCCTTGACTGAACGTGCCTCTATCATGCATCCAGCCAACATATTCCAGATCCTAACTACTCACCGAGTGACAAAGGTTTTTTTCCACATCACATTCACATCTTTTGTAACTTGCTTTAAATCTATGTCCTCTCATTCTTGATTTTTTTACAAATGGGGACAGCTTCTCCCTACCTATTCTGTTCAGGCCCTTCTTGATTTCACAAACTTCTACCAAATCTTCTTTTGTCCTTTGCAAGGGAAACAGTCCCAAATTCTCCAATGAATCTTCATAATTGAAGTTTATCGTCTCCAGAACCATTCTCATAAACACTCTCTCTAATGCATTCGCACCCTTCCTAAAGTACTGTTGACAATAATCCAGACAATACTAGACTAACTAGTGTCTTATATAAGTTCAGTATAACCTCCTTTCTCCTGTAATCCATGAATTAAGTTTAGGATACTGAATACTTTATTAACTGCACTCTCTCCACCTGTCTTGCACCTTTAATAATGTATGCACAACACACCCATGTCCCCTTGTTCCTGATATCCCATTAAAGTAGTGGTGTCTCTTCAAAGTTTCTATCAAAATGTATCACGTCACACTTCTCCACATTAAACTTCATCTGCTGCCTATCTGCCAACTCCACCAGCTTTGTCAATGTCCTTTTCATACTCCTCATTGTTTTGAATGTGTCCGAGTTTTATATCATCAGCAAACTTTGAAATTGTCCCCTGCACACCAAGATAGAGATAATGATTACATATCATGAAAAACACCTCTTTACTGCCCTCTGGGCGACAAGAGATGAGCAATAAATGTGAGCCTAGCCAACAACACCCACATCCCATGAGCGAATGACATAAAACTCCTTCATCAGAGCAAATATCTTTTCTCTCTCTACCTAACTGAATCCTTTAAATAATCTCAAACCACTTTATTTATCAAGCTAGTTGCTGTGGAGTCAACCACTCAGTTCCCAGTTTCCCCTTGTTTCCATGTACAGAGTTATCCCGTTTCCTTGATATGTTTCCCAACTCTCAAAAATTTAGATTTTTTTAATCCCTATTTCACTCAAGGGACATGAGTGTTGCTGGCTGGCCAGCACTTATTGCCCATCCCTCTCTTCCCCTGACCTGAGTGGCTTGCTAGGCTATTTCAAAGGGTTGTTGAGAGTCAACCTTGCTCTGGAGCCACATGTAGGCCAGACTAGGTGAGGATGGCAGATTTCCTTCCCTAAATGATATTAGCAAACCAGATGGGTTTTCTGAAAATTGACAATGGTTTCATAGTCATCGTTAGATAATTAATTCTAGATTTATTAAAATTGAATTCAAATTCCACTGTCTTTCGTGGCAGAATTCAAACCCTAGTCTCCAGAACATTAGCTGAGTTTCTGGATTAATAGTCTAGCGATAATACCATGAGGCCATTGCCTCCCCTTTAAATATTGCAGCACCCAGAACTGATTCATTTTCAGCAAAAGGTTTGGCTTTAAATAAAGAGACAGTGAATGACATTGCTCTTATAGGACAATTCTGTAACTGCACCTTCCTTTTCAAGGGGGTAAATAACCTTGAGCACGTTTTCACTGATGACCTGATTTACTAAGTGCAAACAGAGGTTGTGATTTTAAACAGTCCATCATTGGTAACTGTACATTCATGTTCTTGGAACCCTGTAATGCCCTTCCAAAACCTTTCTATCTTCTTATCCCTCTTTCCACCTCTAAAACAGTCCTTAAAATCAACTTTTGACCAAGTTTTTGGTCATTTGCTGCAAGACCTTCTTGTGTGGCTCAGTGAACAATTTTGTTTGACAACACTCTTGCAGGATGCTTTAGGATGTTTAGCCAAATTAAAGGTGCCATAGAAATGAAAGTTCTTTTGTTGCTAAAAGGCTATGCTACACATCATGCAGCTGTAAAGGTCTAACGAATCTGAAACAGTATCCGGAAATTATAAAAATAGAGAGAGAACCCAAACATTCAGAGCTCTTTCCCTAAGAGAAAAAAGGACTGAGAGAGCTTCTTACCTGCAAATAGAATAGGTCAAGTTCCTGTAATCTTACTTTGAAGGATAACAGGGACTGTACGCTGTTTAGAAATCATTTCACAAGGGCACAGCTCCAAAATACAGCCCCCACAATTGCTTTGGCCAATAGCACTACCCTCTAATATTACTTTGTACTTTGGCTACATTCCAACAGACATTCTGTACTGGTATGATTAAGGTGTGTTTTATGAGTTGGACGCAATAGAATGAATCGTATTAATCTCTACGTTTCACTTGCACATGTTGAAAAGAACTTCTATAAAGTTAACAATTTTCTTTTATCTGAAAGCAGTTATGACTAAAAGTTACGAGCAGCCCAATCCACACACAAATCATTTTGCATAAACTAGTACCCTTCTTAGTTCCAGAAAATTCTCATTCTGAGAGAATAATTTGAATTAGATAGCATAAAAATACAGAGCGGTTGTAATTTAATGTTCAACGCATTTGAATTATGAAATAATTTGAAATAAGCAGCTTTCAGTGAGAGTTTGAATGTATTCTGCAGATTTTTCTTGAGTTTCAATTGAAGCAACAGTGCCCTCCTCAGATCACAGCACCACAGTATAATTCACAAGATCAGGTCAATCAGGAGTATATTCACAAAAGATAGACGTGCATTTCTGATTTTCCATGACCCT